GAGAGGATAGCTCTTCTCTGCAATTGATCATCCCAATATCTGCAGCCCTCAGCTGAGAAGAGACCCTGGAGAGAGAGAGGTTGGCTGCTCTTGCAGGCAGGACACCTCTGCAGCTCTCAGAGAGAGGGTAGCTCTTCTCTGATGCTGGTCATCCCATCATCTCTAGCTATCAGCAGAGAGGGTACTCCTTTCTGCAGCTGGTCGTCTTGTCCTCTCTCTGCCCTCTTCATCCTCTGGCCATCCTCTGCCCTGCTCTGGCTGAGCCCTGAGCTTTTATGGACCTCAGCGGGGAGGAAGTGAATGCCAGTTGGTCCATGGCTGGCCATGGGCTGGCAGAAGAGGATCCATGAGTCCCCACGCCAGTCCAGGGGACTGGAAGCCCAGGCACCAGCCTTCAGGCCCTCCCTAGCCTGAAAGTGGAGCCTTACTGGGACCCACCCACTTCCCCCCAGGAATCTGTCTGCCTCCCACTGCCATTCATGCCCTTGGGGCTCAGTCCCAACTCTGCTCTGAGATTGGAGCGGCTGCTGGTAGAGAAGAGGCGGCACTAGGCAGCAGGAGCAGACATTTCTGAGCCAGCAGGGGAAGGTGGGCCATTCCTGGCCTGAGGATGCAGGCTACAGAGACACCCAGGTGCTGCACCTGGGGAGCTCCTGCCCCTGCCCTGCCAACTAGTAAGGGTCAGGGCTCCCGCTTGTCCCCAGCTCCTGCCTGCTCCATGGAGTGGGAGGGCCAGGTCTGCAGCCGAGGGTCAGGCAATTGCAGCTGCACCCCGGAGGGCAGATCCTGCCTGCTCCCAGCCTGCCCCAAGAGCACAGGGAGGCTCGGATCCACAGCCTCAGTATGGACCGCTGTAGCCCTGCCCAAGAGGGCATGGCTTCTGCCTGCTCCATAGCCTGAGTCTGCGGCCTTTTTTTGGGAGGCTGCAGCAGCACACAGGGAGCTCCTGCCCCAACTCAGAAAAGGCAGGGATCCCACAAGCTCTGTGGAGTGTACAGCCCCTGTGCAGTCAGTGTGATGACAGCAGCCACTGGCATCAGTAATTTTACTGATTATAATTTATATAAAGACATTAACATAAAAGTCCACAGTGAATTTCAGTTCTATCTCCTATCTTCATGGTTTATTTGGTCTCCCCAGCATAAGCTGGGAGAAAAAAGTGTGGTAGAAAACAGTGCCTGAAACCCAATCAATGTTAGGGGTGTGGTTTCAGAGACTCCTTGAAGTTACATGAAGACTGATACCAAACACTGCACTGATAACCTGGCATTCCACTGTCAGGGGCTCTCTCCCTTCAGCTTGAGGCTAATCTGGGAGGAATCCACTTTGCTGCAAACATTTGTTTTAATTATCCCAAAAAAAGTTACTACTGTATATAATATTATGTAGTGTGATCAAGTAGTTGTAATCTTTAAGACAGGAAATCAACATGGTGATCTGCTCCATTTTCTCCCTGAGGAGGAAAAAAAATGAGAGAAGCTTCCAAGGAAGGTCAGTTAAAGGAGATATGAAAAGCCATTTAATTGCACACTTAAAATGGGTGAATTTATGGTATATGAATTATATTTCAATAAAGCTTTTTAAAAAACTATTGAGAAAATCTGTGAGGGAGAAAAAAAAAGGAGCTATGAAGACAACGACAGATCTTAAGAAATACTTCTAGATTACCACTAACCTAACAACTTTAATGGAATTAAATTGTATCATTTTCTCTTCTCTCTTCAATTTTGAACAACTGAATAAAAGTCTTTTTATTGCCTTACCTAGCAAACCTATCCACATTGGTAACTCCAACACCCATTTTTAATAAATATCCGGTACCTGATTCTCTCAGTTGTTCTCCAGTCATGAACCTGCTCATGAGGGCCAGTTGTTAAATTTTAAGGCCTTTTGTTAAACACAGCCATCAGTAAAAATCAAACTAAACTTAAAATTAAATAAGTTAAATTAAATACATAGGTGATAAATACCTCAAAGTTATCCCTTCCCCTATTACCTTACTACCGTTATTATTATCTATGCTCTGAAGTGTATTTATATCTTTTGAGGTTATTTATGTCTATTTGGAGAGAAAAAGACCATCCTGTGCAAGAGTCAGGAATGGCAAGAGAAATAGGAAGAAAGGAGGAGGCTGTCTGCCACTGTTAGCTACTAGTATTGTTATCACTGCTGCCGCTGTTGCTACCCGGAGACACAGAGCCCCACAGTGTACAACCTATGACACCCTTAGCAGTTGGCACCCTTCTAAGAGTTCATCCCAGAAGATCTTGCACACCATGGCCCAAGAAAGCCTGGTCACCAACAAACTCAGAATTCCACAAGGCTCAGCATTTCCAAAAAGCTCAGAATTTCCACAAGGTTCTCCTCTGCAGTTTTTCCTTATCTTTTATTTCTCCTTCCAAAGATAGCAATAACGTTTTGCAGCCCCTTAGAATGTGTTGTGCTCATCTATTGTAGATGGCAATTGTTTGTCCACCAGCTTGGTTCTCTCCTCTACTCTAAGAGAGACTGAGTTCCAGTAGAATCTGTCTGTATTAGTCTATTCTCGCACTGCTATAAAGAAATACCTCAAACTGGGTAATTTATTTTTTTTAAAAAAAAAAAGAGGTTTAATTGGCTTATGGTTACACAGGCTGGACAGGAAGCATGACAGCATTTGCTCCTGGGGAGGCCTCAGGAAGCTTTTACTCATGGTGGAAGGCAAAGTGGGAGCAGGCATCTTCACATGGCCAGAGCAGGGGGAAGGCGGGGAGGGGACAGGAGCAACACATTTTTATTATAAACAACCAGATCTCATGATAACTCACTCACTATCATGAGAACAGCACTGAAGGGATGGTGCTAACCCATTCATCAGAATTCTATTCCCATTAACCAATCACCTCGCAACAGGCCCCACTTCCAACACTGAGGATTACAATTGAACATGAAATTTGGGTGGGGAGACAGATCCAAACCATATCATTCTGCTCCTGGCCCCCCGCAAATCTCATGTCCTTCTCACATTGCAAAATACAATCATGCCTTCCTAACAATCCCCCAAAGTAACTCATTCTAGCCTTAATTCAAAAGTCCAAAGTTCCATCTGAGGCAAGGCAAGTCCCTTCTGTCTATGAGCCTAGCCTGTAAAATGAAAAATAAGTTAGTTACTCCCAAGAAACAATAGGAGCACAATTATTAGGTAAATACTCCCATTCCAAAAGGAAGAAATCACCCAAAAGAAAGGGGCTACAGGCCCCATGCAAGTCTAAAACCTAGCAGGGTAGTCATTAAATCTTAAAGCTCCAAATATAATCTCCTTTGACTCCATGTCTCATATCCAGGGAACATTGGTGTGAGGGGTGGGCTCCTAAAGCCTTTAGACAGTTCCACCCATGTGACTTTGCACGGTTTGGCCCACACAGCTGCTATTATGGGCTGGTGTTTTGCAAGCACAGGGTGCAAGCTGTTGGTGGATCTACCATTCTGGGATCTGGAGGACAGTGGTCTTCTTCTCACAAATATTTTAGGCAGTGCTCCAGTGGGGACTCTGTGTGGGGGCTCCAATCCCAGATTTCCCTTCTGCACTGCCCTGGTAGAAGTTCTCCATGAGGGCTCTGCCACTGCAGCAAGATTCTGTCTACACATCCAGGCTTTTCATCCTCTGAAATCTACGCAGAAGCTTGCAAGCCTCAGCTCTTTCACTGTATGCACCCACAGGCTTAACACCATGTGGAAGCTGCTAAGGCTTATGGCTTATACCCTCTGAAGCAGCAGCCTGAGCTGTACCTGGGCTCCTTTTATCCATAGCTGGAGCTGGAGCTGCCTGGATACAGAGAACAGCGTCCTGAGGCTATGCAGAGCACTGGCACCTTGGGCCTGGCCCTAGAAACCATTCTTCCTCCTAGGCCTCAGGCCTGTGATGGGAAGGGCTGCCACAAAGTTCTCTGAAATGCCTTGGAGGCCTTTCCCGTTGTCTTGACTATTAGCACTTGGCTGTTTTTTTCCTTATGAAAATTTCTACAGCTGGCTTGAATTCCTCCCCAGAAAATGGGCTTTTCTTTTCTACCACAAGATCTGGCTCCAAATTTTCCAAACTTTTACACATTGCTTCCCTCTTAAATATAACTTCCAGTTTGAGATCATTTCTTTGTTCATGCATATGAACATATGTTGTTAGAAGCAGCCAGGCCACATCTTGAATGCTTTGCTGCTTAGAAATTTTTTCTACCAGATACCCTAAATCATCACTCTCAAGTTCAAAGTTCCACAGATCCCCAGGGCAGGGACACAATGCCTCCAAGTTCTTTGCTAAAGCATAACAAATATGACCTTTACTCCAGTTCCAAATAAGTTTCTCACCTCCATCTGAGATCTCATCAGCCTGGACTTTTTATCCATATTACTATTAGCATTTTGGTCAAAACAATCTGCCAAGTCTCTAGGAAGTTCCAAATTTTCCCTCATCTCACTGTCTTCTTCTGAGCCTGTCACACTCTTCCAACCTCTGCCCCTTACCCAGCTCCAAAGTCACTTCCACATTTTCAAGTATCTTTACAGCAATGCCCCACTCCTCAGTACCAATTTTCTGTATTAGTCCATTCTGGCACTGCTGTAAAGAACTGCCTGAGACTGGATAAGTTATAAAGAAAAGAGGTTTCATTGGCTCACAGTTTCGCAGGCTGTACAGAAAACGTGGCAGCATCTGCTTCTGGGGAGGCCTCAGGAAACTTTTACTCAGGGCAGAAGGCAAAGTGGAAGCAGACATCTTCATATGGCTGGAGCAGAAGGAAGAGAAACAAGAGGAAGGTGCTACACACTTTTAAATAACCAGATCTCATGAGAACTCACTCACTCACTGTCATGAAAACACCACCGAGGAGATGGTGCTAAACCATTCATGAGAACCCTATCCCCATGATCCAGTCTCCTCCCACCAGACCCCACCTCCAACACTGGGGATGACAATCAAGCATGAGATTTGGGTAGGGACACAGATCCAAACAGTATCACTATCCAACTTGCATTTTTTTTCTTTTACTAATCTAATAATTCTAATGGATGTAATAGATCACATGTTATGATACCATTGCTTGGCTATTTTTGTTAGTTAACAATAAATATCTTTAAGCTTTTATCCTATTGTAAACCTTCTGAAGTTTCCATAAATTATAAATGTAATTATCACACAAAATGGCCTCTTTCCCTCGGGTTCTCTTGAAATCCTTTTGGTCTCACCTGTACTACTTCCCCCTTTAGGATCCTCTAACCTCTGAAACTTTTTGTAAATCTAAAGGCTTTTGAAGAATAATATGAGGCATATTCATTAACTCCTTCTCTTCTTTCTACTTATTTCAACTCTGCACCCACCTCCTGCTCCAGGAAGCCTCCTGTAATCACTTTAGCTCCGTCTTGAGCCACCTGTGGGAAACGGAGTGAAGTGGTTAAAGGAAACGTTTTGCTCTTTGGTTTGTTTAGGGCTCACACACCAGGCATAGAGACTTCTCTTCTGTGGGAGGCACCTCTTTCCTCTTGGTGGGTATGGAGTTGAATAGATAATTACTTTTAAGGACACGTTCGCCAATTTCCATAATCAATATGTGTCTAAAAAGATAAAAGCAGCAAAAATCAGGAATAAATATAAAAAACAGTTTTAAATTTTTAAATTTATGAAGTGAATATATATTCCATTAAGGTAGTCCATTATTAAGTGTTTCTAATGCCCACAGTATCTTTGTCCCGTCTCTGTCTTCTTTTTTTTTTAATTTTTCCACTGTGTGTCCTTTGTACTCCAGATACTATGGGAGGCATTTGGCACAGATTGGCTGATTTCTTTCTCACTAAAGCAGGAAGTGAGGTTACAAAGGTGGGGGTAATTTCCCCAAGGCCAAAAAAGCTTATCAGTAGCAAAGTTGGTAGTATACCCTTGATGTGTCTCATTCCAAAACCCAGGCTTTTTGTAATATTATTAATATGCGTTTTTACTAATACGATTCTTATTACTTCTAATAATCCCACCTGATTATTCAACATCCTCATAGCATTTTTTTTCTAGGGGTGCTACAAAGAACAAGTAGGAACTGAATTCCTTCAGAGGTTGCTTCCTAGCTTATTATCGTGAATTTTACCTCAGTATCTATTTCTTGGTGTAATTTAGATACACCTTCCTCCCCTCCCGCGCCCGCTTGGTTCAGAGCTCCTGCCCTACCCAAATTGGACAGCAGAGGGGGCGCTCAGCCTTCAGCCCTCCCTCACTCTGCAGGGTGTGTGGTTGCAGGGTTTGATGCTAACCTTTCCTGTGTTTCCAAAGCACCTTTCTCAAAAGGGAAGTTTAAGGAGAAGGGGAAAGTGGGAAGAAGTAGAAAAGATTGAAGAGACGCTCCAGAGAGAAAAGTGCCATCGTCACTTAGGCTTGGTGTGGGGAGCACGGAAATAGCACAAATGAAAAATAACAGTGTGGCCAAAGGGGTAGTGGCATTGTTTGGTGCCGGCGGGGACGCCTCTATTTTCCACATCCGCCTTTTAATATTTGATGTTATCATGAGAAGGGCGCTTCATCGACATAAACCTCAGTCTTCTCATCTGTAAAACAGTAGAATAATACCTGCCCTGCCGATTTCATGGGAGTATTGCAAGGATCAAATAAAACAATGAGAGTGAACATGCCCTGAAGTGTCAAATCTTGTGTAGGTCTGGACTGCTGATATCAATATGGAGAGGCGGGTGGCATGGAGGGGAGCTAAGGAAGGTAATAGGCAACATATACTGAGTGTTAACCTTGTGCCGGGCCATGATTCAAGAGCTCCATGTGTACTGAGAAACCTAAGATGGTAACAGCCTAAGAGGGTCAGAGACAAGAACTATGAACCCTCTGCCTTGCTGAGTCACCCAGATGGAAGCAGTGACTGACGTTTTTTTGTTTTGTTTTGTTTTTTTCTTTTTCTTTTTTTGAGACAGAGTTTTGCTTTCGTTGCCCAGGCTGGAGTGCAATGCAATGGCGCCATCTCGGCTCCTCAGCAACCTCCGCCTCCCGGGTTCAGGCGATTCTTTTGCCTCAGCCTTCCTGAGTAGCTGGGATTACAGGCATGCACCGCCACACCCTGCTAATTTGGATTTTTAGTAGAGACAAGGTTTCTCCATGTTGGTCCGGCCAGTCTCGAACTCCCGACCTCAGGTGATCCACCCACCTTGGCCTCCCAAAGTGCTGGGATTACAGGCGTGAGCCACCAGGCCCGGCCGTGACCAACATTTTTAATAAAAGAAAAAGAAAAAATAGCTGTCTTTGAAGATGAATAAACTCAGTCCTGCCACTAACTGCATCAATCTATTATTACATATTTGTAACTTTTGCTTTTCTTTCAGTAAAATGGGAATAACAATACCCACGATGCAAAAATTATATGAGATAATGTAGTTCCTTCCTCATTTTTCCCGTCTTCTTTTTGCTCTGGTAGTTTCTCACCATTGATAGAGCAGAAAACACAGTCGTAGGGGCTCCAGCCCCTACAACCGCATTCTATGGAGGACCATGTCCAGCCACAGAGCCACAATCCGGTGAGATCTAACTTTAGGACCACAGCATGCTCATTTCCCTGCCTACATAGATTTCCGAGCATGATAGTACATTGCACACACCTCAAAACAAAAACTCCTTAATCAAGAAAATGTTTTAAATGAAAGATGAATGACTACATTAGGAGACTGCGTAGTATTCTCATACTGGACACCATTCACAATTGTCTGAAAATCTTAGTTTGAAATAAGCTGCCTTACTATTTATCCATCATCAACTTGGAATTTGTCAAAATGAGTGTTCTCATTGTGGGGTTAAAAATAAGGTTACACTGCTTTTTATAATTAGAAATCTCTTCTTTTAAAAAAAAATTCTAACTTATTAAGTAGAATTTTAGATTAATTTGGTCTACATTACTGTCAAGAAAAATTATCCAAAACTTGGGAATTAGGCAGAAGGAGAACTGCATGCCCTTTCAATGTGAGACTGGAACTTTGTTTAACAGGCTTACCCCAAAATGACTTGATTCTCTAGTAGACATACCTTTGTTTAACTTGCTATTTATTACTGATTGGGGCCTGGATACTGTGAGGTTAGATGGTAACTTGTAGATTTTCATTAGGTAGCAATGCAAACAATTCCTGTACTATAGAAAAGAGAACCACAAAGTTATGGTTTTATTGGCCAGTATGATATTAACCCAGGTTTGCATATAACCTGGCATTCAACATTCTTTCCTCAGTGCCTAAAACTTCTTCAAATGATCTTGACACCAGCTTTACCATCTTGCTGATCCCCTTATCGACAAGCTTAATAAATCTTTGATGTATATTCATTCTATTTTTGTGTGAGTATATATTTTGTTTTGTTTTGTTTTGAGACAGGGTCTTGCTCTGTGGCCCACGCTAGAGTGCAATGGCACACTCTTGGCTCACTGCAACCTTAGCCTCCCGGGCTCAAGCAATTCTCCTGCCTCAGCCTCCCGAGTGAGTAGCTGGAACTACAGACAGGCATCACCATGCCCGGCTAATTTTTGTATTTTTAGTAGAGATGGGGTTTCACCATGTTGGCCAGGCTAGTCTTGAACTCCCGGCCTCAAGTGATCCACCCGCTTCGGCCTCCCAAAGTGCTGGGATTACAGGTGTGAGCCACTGCACCCAGTCAAGTATGAGCACGTTTTTCATTTTTAAAGAATTATTCTTTGACATTCCTTTCCCTCCCCTATTTTCTACCACTGCATCATTGAATGATAGGATAATAAAATTCCTGATTGTATATCACAGACCAGAAGTGCCTGCAATAAACAAACAGTCTGATTCTGTAACCACTGCCAGAAAAAATAATTAGCTATTCTGTACTAAAATGAAATGTATTATCTTTAGGACAAACAATCTCCATAATCTAATATGTATACATCAAATAACTACTTTCTGAAGGTCATCTCGTCCTGTTCCTGAAGGTATGTTTTGCAGATTTACATTCTAGTATAAATACCAGGAGGCAGAGTTACTCGTGATTTCTTCATCTATTGAGCATTAATTTCTTGTGGGCATCCTATTTGCCACGGATTACTCTCGCTGCCAGGGTTGCAGCAATTAACACAGTAGACCAAGTCCTTCTACCCATAGAGCTTACATTCCAAAAGAAAAATATAATAAATAAACAAGTACATGTAAAGGATCTCAGATGGTGTTAAGTACAATGGAGAAAATGAAGTGGAACGTAGGAGGTAGAGAATGGGGGACATGGGAAAGCAACTACTTTATAAAGAGTAATCATGGAAGGCCTTATCTGGATGGGGACACTGGAACAGAGAAGGTGAGAGTGTTCCAAGGGAAAGGAACAGCAAATTCCAAGGCTCAGAGGAAGAAGGGATGGAAGGCCTTAATAGACACACTAATAGCTGTGATTAGTGTGATGATCTAATATCTAATAGGCTGATTAGAGAGATTTGAGCAGAGGAAGGACCTCGCCTTTTTAAAACATTCTGGCTACTGTGTTGAGAACAGGCTCTAGGGGAGAAAGGTAGAAGCCAAGTGACCAGCTATGAGGTCATTTTCAGTGGCCTAGTGAGAGGTGATGGCAGTTTACTCAAGGATGGGGATGGTAGAGGAAGACAGACTCTGCATATATTTTGAAGACAAAACCTACAGGATTCATAATGGCTGAAAGGATAAAGAAAGGAATTAAGAATAACAGCCAGATCAATTGAAATTATGGAGCTGTTACTTAATAGAATGGGAAGACTATAGGAGAATAACTTGGGAGTAGTGTCAGGATTTCATGTTTGGACAGATTTAGTTTGACGTACTTATTAGACATTCAAATAGAAATTTCTGGCAGGCAGTTGGATATATGAGTCTGCAGTTCAGAGGAGAGGTCCAAACTGGAACATCAATCAATGTGGGTCTTGTTTCAAATGTGGGTATGTAAAGCCAGGAGAACACATGAAATAAGGAAATGAGTATAGAAACAGAAGTCTAAGAAATGAGCCCTGAGGCATTCAAATGGTCAGCTATGGGAAAAGAGAACAACAAAGAAAACTAAGAAGAAGCAATAAGAGAAAAACAAAGCAGTGATATCCTGGAAGTCAAGTAAAGACAAGGTTTCAAAAAGTAAATCATGATACATGTACTCAAATAGATACTTGTATTCCAACCTTCATAGCAGCATTATTCACAATAGCCAAAGAGTGGAAACAACTCAAATGTCCATCAACAGGTGAATGGATAAACAAAATGCAGAATATACATACAATGGAACATTATTCAGCCTTAAAAAGGAAGGAAATTCTGACACATGCTTCAACATGGATGGAACTCAAAGACATTGTGTTAAGTGAAATAAGCTAAACACAAAATGACAAATATTGTATGACTGTATGTATATGAGGTACTAGAATAGGCAAATTTACAGAGAAAGAACTAATAATGGTGTTGCCTGCGGATGGGGAATGGAGGAATAAGAAGTTATTGTTTAATGGATAGAGTTTGATGCAATAAAAAAGTTCTGGAAATGGACAGTGGCAATGAGTACACTAAATGTAAAAATACACTTAATGCTACTGAATTCTACACTTAAAAATGATTTC